CCCCGCTATCGGGGGGCGGAGCGGCCACCTGCCAACAAGCCCCTCGCTGATTCGCTGCAGGGCAGGCTGGCGCCTACCAACTCCGGGAGGGGAGGAGTTGGGGAGGGAAGGGAGGAAGGAAAGAGGCGCTGCTGAGGCAAGGGGAGCCCTAGGGCGCCTCGGCTCGCGGGAACAACGCATCCCGTGTGTCACCACCCTGCCAAGCCCGGCGGCCAGAACCAGCGGTCCGTTTCTGGCATGTACACACGCTCCCCTCTCACAAATGGAACCGTCCCAGGCTGTACCAAGCCCCAGGAAAGGGAGCTATGTTCTGGGTACTCAACGCCGCCGTCGCAGAACTCAAGCGGGTGTTGGACACATCCTCCCAGGGAGCAGGCGGGCGGGCCCACGACTTCCTTCACCGAAGGGAAGTGCAGGAAGAGGCTCCCCTTCTAGGGCTCCAGTTGGTTCCGTCGTCGGCGTCTGGTTGCTAGGCAACGCGGCGGGGCGCGCCCATTCCGCCGGCGGTGCGGATCGCCCCTCCGGGTGGTGCTCCCCGTCCGCACGTGGACAGCGGGGCATCGTGGCACAGGTGAAGCCTCGTCGGCCTCTCGGGGGCGCCGCCGGCTGCCTCCACGCCCTAAGGGCCCGGCCGCCTTGGGGTAAACCAGAGAGAAAACAGCGCCGTGCATGTATAGCGCAGCCCCGCGCGCCATGAATGTAACGTGTGCCGGGGGTATAAAAGGGCCTCGCTAGGTAAACCCCGGGAGCTCTACTCAGCATCCCGCCTCGGTCCTGTTTTATACCCCACCCTCCTGGTTTTAAACCCTTCGTGTGTCCCCCCACCTTCTGAATGAGGAGCGGACTGCAAGAAGTCCTGTTTTTTAGTTCATTGATGGAAAAACGTGTCAATCATTTGTCCTCGTGACTCTACTGGCTGTGCGTACGGGTAGGGCGGTGCGCAGCCGGGAGGAGCAGCATTGGGAGCCAGGTTGCCAGGTCTTAAATATGAAATGATACGATCATTGTGAGCTTCCAATTCTGTTTGCTGAAAAACTATCATACGCTGAAAAAATATGCAAACAAGTATGCAAATAAATTTTATTTCCTTTCTGTTGCTCACTGTACGTCGCCAGTAAGAACTGGGTTGTCAAAGTTGAAGCATGGCTTTATTTGGAGGTAAGCTGGCATAACAAAGTATTGACAGCAAATGCAAAATCAAGTTAAGCCTCTCTGAGGACCACTTGGGTTTTGCATATGCTGCACCAATGAGCTGCCTAAAAAACTGTGGTACATTTTGAGCATTTTTGCTGATCCTGACTACATCGTACAAGAGTTGAAATTATCTTACAAATACATCTCATATTATTATACACCTGGCAACACTGGAGGGAGGGAGGCAGCTTTTTTGTGGTGGCCCCACCCCTTGCTGCTGACTGGCCAGGGGGGGTAGTGCCCCCACCCCTCCCCACTGTTTGGCCACTGGGGGCCTATGGTTGTTTCCTTCCCCACCCCCCATGCCCAAAGGGATGTCTTGTATTCTGGGGACGTGTCAGAGGCTACCCTAGGTCTGCTGCAGTTCTTTGCCATGGAAAAACGTCAATGTTGTATTTTTCTGCAGGCCAAAAGAAAAGGAGGGAATGTTGAGAGCTGGTGTTTTCCAACGGATGCCTCAAGTCTATCCAGAGGTGCTCCCTACTCTAGAAAGGTTGAGAACCACTGGGTTAAACCATGCCAGCCCTTCAGCCTGCCCACTGCCCTGCCTCACCCATGTTTGGGCATCTCCACAACGGAAATATCATATTTGTCATCAGTGTGTCAAACACCACGTATTCCAAACTGTGTTTCCTGAAGGAGCAGCTCATAAAGGCTCTCTTCTCAATGGCCAGCAGCCCAGCTGAATCCAAGTTCAACATCATAAGCTTTGCTGGCAAGGTAAAACTAATGCAGCTGTGACTGAGTGCAGGATTACAGTGTTAGAAGCAGGGCCAGTGAGAAGGCATAAATGGAAACAGTGCTGATCTCTGTTACTGTGTTTCAGTCTTAGCATTTTGTTAGACCAGGTGATTCGCAGCCAGGGTTCCATGGCACCCTGGGGTGTCTTGAGATCCATTCAAGAGTGTCATTGGTTGTCATGCAGTGGTAGCATGGTGTGCAAGCACGATTCACAAACTAAAACTTGAGTTTCCACGTAGGAATGCACAGTGTTAAAAACCTTGTGGTTTGTTGTGGTGTTTCTGAGTTCTGTGCAACAGACAAATTGCTCTAGTATTTTTCTGCTGTCAAAAAAAAAGTCTCAAAACTAAGAGCTGGAATTTTCAAAGAGGTGCCTCAAGGCTGGGGAGGAGTGCCTCAAGTCCAAAAAGGCTGAGGATCACTAACCTCTGTCAGGTGAGGTGGCTGCAACGTATCAATGGCCACTGATAGGGTGAAACAAGTGTAAGGTAAGAGTTGGAAAATGCCTATTACATTACCCACCCATTCTCTCTCCAATCATGGGATTATCCCCTTGTATGTTTTCTTGGGTGCCTGGTTGCATTGCTGGCCTGGATTAATCTTATTCATAGAATCATAGAAGTAGGGTCGGAAGGGACCTT